TTTACATGAACTGATGCCTAACACTTTCTCAATATTTGTTTGTTTGTTTGTTTGTTTATTCAAACATGTACAAGATAATAGGTATAAGTATATACATGGACATGAACACAGGAAATGGGTATGAATAAATAGGGACAATAGGACAGGGGTGGTAGGCACTCTGGTGCACTTATGCATCAGGGGTGGATTGGTGCCGGCGTTACTGCTGGTTCAGTGAGAACATGCTCCGCACGTGTGCGCAGTTGCCTGTAAATAGGTTTGTGTACGCGCAGAACATTTAAAAATGCCAGAAAAACATGCTGTGGTGACCAGAGAACTGGTTCGGAGGCGTGGCCGAACCAGGCTGAACCGGTAGCAACCCACCTCTGTTATGCACGCCCCCTTACAGACCTCTTAGGAAAGGGGTGAGGTCTACACTAAACAGTTTAAGGTTAAAGTTATGGGGGTTTGACGATGTAACAACAGTTGGGCAGTGCATTCCAGGCATTGACCACTCTGTTGCTGAAGTCCATATTTTCTGCAATTTAGTTTGGAGCGGTTTACCTTGAGTTTGTACCTATTGTTTGCCCGTGTATTATTGTGGTTGAAGCTGAAGTAGTCATTGACAGATAGGACATTGTAGCAGACAATTTTTTGTACTACGCTTAGGCCAGACCTTAATCAGTGTAGTTCTAGGTTCTCCAAGCCCAAAATTTCAAGCTTCGTGGCATAGGATATTCTATTGTGAGCAGAGGAGTAGAGTACTCTTCTTGTGAAATATCTCTGGACTCACTCAATTGTATTAATGTCCGATAAACAGTGTGGATTCCAGGCAAACAAGCTGTATTCAAGAACTGGTCTGGTAAAGGTTTTGTATGCTCTAGTTTGCAGATGTTACCGAAGAAGAAGCTTTGCAAAATTAGGTTAACAACTCTTAATGCCTTTTTGGCAATGCTGTTACAATGATCTCTGGGGCTTAGATCTGGGGTTTGAGATGATTACTCCTAGGTCTTTGACTGAGTGAGGGTCGTCTACGAGATTGTATCTGCCCAGCTTGTATTTGGTGTTCTGAGTTTTGTTGCCAATGTGTAAGACAGAGCATTTGTTGATTGAGATTTGGAGTTGCCAATTGTTCGACCATTCTGATATGTAATCAAGGTCACTTTATAGGACAGAAGCATGCTCAGTGGTGTTAAATAATTTTACGTCATCAGCGAAATTATCCTATCTAAGCATCAANATAGATATAGATAGATAGATAGATAGATAGATAGATAGATAGATAGATAGATAGATAGATAGATAGATTAGATAGTCATAGATAGAGAGGTAGATGAGAGATAGAGATATTGTGCTAGCTGCCATAAAATCATTAGTGAATTCATAATAGATACATAGGAACCTTGGGTTTCTAGTGGATGATTACTTAAACATGAGCCAGCTGGTAGCAGCCAAAATATATATATACAATCTTTGGTTGTATAAACAAAGGCATAGAATCAAAATCATGTAATGCATTAGTACCACTTTATAAAGCCTTCATAAGACCACATGTGGAATACTGCAACCAGTTTTGAATAGCTTGAATAGCATCCGCATTACAAAATAGATGTTGAGACTTTGGAAAAAGTGCAAAGAAGAGCAACTAAGATGATTAAGGGCCTGGAGATAAAAGCATATGAAGAATGGTTTGCAAGAATTGGGTATGGCCAGTCTAGAGAAAAGAAAGACTAGGGGAGACATGATAGCAATGTTCCAGTATTTGAAGAAGTGCCACAAAGAAGAGAGGGTCATCTTATTCTCCAAAGCACCTGAGCGCAGGACAAGAAACAATGGATGGAAGGATGTGTTGTGTTTGTTTTGAAAATTAAAAATTAAAAAAAGAAAAGGATGGAAACAAATCAAGGAAAGAAGCAACCTGAAATGAAGGAGAAACTTTCTAACAGTGAGAACAATTAACCAGTGGAACAGCTTGCCTTCAGTAGTCCTAGGTACTTCATGGAGGTTTTTAAGAAAAGATTTGACAGCCGTCTGTCTATAATTATATACAGTCTCCTGCTTGAGCAGGGGGTTGGACTAGAAGACATCCAGGGCCACTTCAAACTCTATTCTGATTAACTGAAAAAAGATCTCATTTGAGATAGATTTTTCCAAAATCTTTAAAGCCCTATTTTTTTTTCTCCCCAATGCTTGTGGGCATGTTGTTCTATCCTCACTAAAGTCAATTCTTCCTTCCTTTGTCTTGCAAATTCAACTACTTAAATATCATTCAGGTAAGCCCACTTTTTACCTCATTTTAGTGAAATCTATGGAAATACACAACTTGCTTTGGTCATTTCAATGAAATATATAACAATAAAAATAACCTCAACACTCATGGAAGTCAAGAAAATTTCACTTGCTTTCAGCAGGATTTAATTTGAGAATCTATTGGTGTAGCAAGAATTTTGAAGTGTTGAAGACAATTGGGGAGAAGAAAATGGTAAGATATATAAGACTGTATTACAGAGGCCCATTATAGCCCCATGGGGCTTCTGGCCCCATTCAAAGTGCTGACTAGAGTTATAAAACTCTACTTAGCTCAGGACCTGATTAAACATCTCTTCCTGTTTTTATCTATGATTTATATTTTGTACAGAGGCACTTTCTAAATGCTTCAGTGGAAAAAATACTGTGATAAAGAGGGACTCTTTCCCATGTAACCAACATGTGTAATGGTGAACTACAGCTAGAGGTAGATATTGATCAACATCAAAATCATCTCCTCCCACAACACAAAAAACAAGGACAAATAATTGCTTCATTGACTAGTGTTTTTTGGAAATTTGATTTTGACCCAGGAATCTAGAAATTGTTCAAGTAACACCCTAAAATTATGAAGAAGAAAATTTACTATGCATATGGCACTTAATTACTTATCTTTGATGTATTATAAGAAAATGATTTCAGTTGCTTGAATTTCTCTTTCCTTTGCCTCATATTTTAAAACATTCTCTAAGCTATTCTAAAGTTATTTTATAAAGAAAAGTGGTAAAAATTGCAAATGCAATTCTAGCATATCTAAAACATCAGCATAAAAATAATATAATAATGACGTTTTGGAATGTCTGTGGCAAGTTAAGAGGATATTTCCATATAAATGAGATTTCTAATTTTTAAGTTATTAAAGCTACAAAATTTTGACCTTCCCAATTTGTATAAGATCAAGCCATCTTATTCTGCCAGAGCCACTGCCTTTATGCAGTCCATCATTGTTTACTATTAACTGGCAGTGGCTTGTCTAAATCATTATTGAAGGCATCAAATCCCCTATCCCTTAAAAAAACCATAAATACCCAATACTTTTTGTTCCCAAAGACCTCTATTTGGGCAAGTTGATTTTCTGGTATATGATATGTTCTTTAAATTTTGGGGAGATAATAGCTTGTTCTTTCTCAGCATATTAAGTTGTATAATTTTGTTTAGTCCTTTCTTCTTCCATTTGTGTGTGTGTNTTTTACGTCATCAGCGAAATTATCCTATCTAAGCATCAAGAAATCTAATGAGCAGGAATACAGTTTAGATGAGATTGAGGGTTGTGTTATAGTGGCCAGATCTTCCTTTTTAGGAAGGAATTTAACTAACCTTGACTGCCCTCCGAGTATACAATTAGAATATTAATCAAAATGAAAATAGTGGATAAGACATGTGGATGGTAATAAGGCTCTGCTGGCCACAACCGAGTCCGGATAATGCAGTATTTTTCTAAGAATTTAAAGACCTGACATTAGCCCTTAGCAGTTGTCAAGAATAGTCATCAATGGCTGCTGTGAATTGGCTGAAAGGACACCAGAGAACATTTTACCAGTCTTATACCCTTCCCCATCTAAAAGAACTGCCAAGACTGGCGGTATCTCAAATCATAGATGGGTTACTTATAGACCAATATCATCATTGTCTTTTCAGGAATGCAGCTCAATTTGTTATTCTACATCTGTTTTCTTATGTTTGGTTTCATCTTACGATTGGAGGGAAGATGAAAATACTTCTTGACGTAAGTGAAGCTAAAAGGATTACACACTGTTCTTCCAGTGAAATGGTTCTTAGTCTTCTCACATTTGTTGTAATTCCTTGCTATGAAGGTACAATTCCTTGCTGAATTCATCGTTGTAACTGCTGCTAGCTTTAATGCTACCCGCAGAGATAAGGGAGAAATGTCTATTGATTTCCTGGCTGTTCACATCTCAAGAACTGCCTTTTTGTGATTTAGAAAAAAACAAAAGAAAAATCTTGCAGCATTCCTCAAATAAATGGACATGGAAACAGCCCTGATTAAACTTTTGGCAGGGAAATGGATTTTTGGAGTAAAATGTATGAGTGAAAGATATTCTAGATTTATTAAAATAAAGATGACAGCAGAACATCATTTACAAAATTCATCTCAGGTTATCAGTAGACTTAAAATGAACTTATGTATACTATATGTGATAGGACCAGAATTTTGCTCATAGTTATGAAAACTTTGAAAAGATTATGAAGAACTTAGCTAGATCAAACCAAGAGAGGAAGATGTTTCTGGAAAGTTCCTTAGAAGACTTGGAAGAAATAGATCTCGTCAATAACTGGAAATAAATGACATGAGACTCTGGTTGTGAACTAGTACAATGTTAATTTATTAACCACTGATTTGCTCGTTGCCAATTAAATTTAGGATGCCTATTTGGTGGCCATATGAAAAATGACTTTTTTTTCCATTTATTCTGAATATTCCAGTTACATTTTTAAAAAAATAAGCCTTATTATGGAAGCCAAATACTTTGATAATTTTTATCAAATAAATAATAACAATAGCACTTAGACTCATATACCGCTTCACAGTGGTTTACAGCCCTCTCTAAGCGGTTTACAGTCAGCTTATTGCCCCCAACAAATCTGGCTCCTCATTTTACCAACCTCGGAGGGATGGAAGGCTGAGTCAACCTTGAGCCTGTTGAGATTCGATCTGCCAAACTGCAGGCAGCCAATGATTAGCAGAAGTAGCCTGCAGTACAGCATTCTAACCTTTGCGTCACTGTTTATAATGTTTCAGTTTCCATTATTTTCTTCCTTAAAATGGATTATTTCAAGAATACATGTCTACATATACCTTAAATAAATAATAAAAATAAAATAAGTAAAGCCTTACAGAATAAATATGCTTGAAAAATTAATAATGCTGTGCCCAACATTTGACAGAAGAAGGAACAGAAGCCTTGGGATAAAAGTGAGAGTGAAAAGCCTGCTATTCACATTTTTAATGCAACTTTTATTTTAGTTTTATATTGCAATAATAAACAAGGAACAGTTAAGTATACAGTATTGTGAGCAAGTTCTATGTACTCTTTATTTTTCAAACATATACAAAAGTGTATGGAACTAAGCAAATTCTACTTGTACTACATTGTACTATAAACAATCTTAAATTAGCTCATTTATCGTAAAAATGGTGCAACACTGGTTGAGCTATGCTTTTATGTATGATATTGTTTGCAACATTATTCTTTTGTAAGCTTTGGAAAATACATTCAGAAATCCTTTAGTCATTCTTCCTAGAAGAACTGCGAAAATGCAAATTTATCTGATGTTTAGCCATCAGTAAAGTTGATTAATTCCCCCCCCCTTTTTTTTCTGGAAGATGGTAACATCCATAGCACAGCAGTGACATCAAAATGACAAGTTCATGATGCTGTCATCACAGAAATTCTGTCCTGATGTGCTTCTGTCCTGATGTCTGACACTAGAGCATAAGACATACCATTTATGTGATAATGTTACCATTTATTGCAGTCATTTGCCCTTGATGCCCACTCATTGGGGGACTGGGGGAGCAATTGATTGTTGTCTTCTACATTTTAAATGGTATTAACTATTGAAGCATATAATGGCCATATCCTTTCTGCAGGAGAATGCCTAATCGATTGGCTGATTATATGCCATCAAGTCAGTGCTTCTCTGAGTAATCACATAGATAAATTTCCTCCAGGATTCTGATCCTACCTGGTCTTTCATGTCTTCCAATGGGTACATCCATCACCACTATAATTGAATCCATCCATCTTGCTGTTGGTCATCCTTTTTTCCTTTTCCCTCCATCTTTCTCTATATCAGGGGTTTCAAACTTGCGATGAATGTTGTCACATGATGTATCACAACTTTTTCCTCTTTGCTAAATTGGGGATGGGCGTGGCCAGCAAGTGATGCTTCTGGGTGGAGGGCTGCAAGTTTCACACCCCTGCTCTATATTGTAGACTTCTTCAGAATCTAGGTGTTTGTGTAATGTGTTTGAAACAAGATAATTTGAGCTTTAATTTAAGTCATTTGTCTTAAGTTTTGTTTGTAGTTTTTTCCCCCCAATGATCCATTTGTTTGTTTTCTTGGTTATTCATGGTTTTCTCAGGAGTCTTCTCCAGCACCAAAAGTTCAGAAGTGTCAATACTCCTTCACGCTTGCTTCTTCAGAGTACAATTTTGCTTCCATAGAACATCATGGGAAAAATTATTGCCTGCACAATTCTTTGTAGGTATAGACACATATCCTAACATCTGCATATATTTTCCAAGGTCTTCATGTCTACTCCGTCAAATATTAGTCTGTGGTGTATTTCTTGGCTGCTGATTCCTTTACTATTGACAGTTGATCCTAAAAGCAAACTATCAGTGACTTCAACATCGTCATTGTGAGTTCTAAAGCTGATTATCTATTATTATTTCGGCCCATCTTTTTTCACTGTGCTTCTTGAATTTTATTACTGAAGCTTGCAGATGATTTGCATTTTTAAAATATATTTGAATTCTTGACAAAAGAAGTAAGATATGTATTTCTTAATTCAGATTACTTACCTGGACCAGATTAAAGTCAATATTTCTCCAAAGGACTATATGTGAGCCAATCCATTAAGGCTGAGTTAAACTCCAAATAGCTCAGTCTTGGCCCTAATATTAGGTAAAATGAGATAGCAGCCACTTTAAGCCCTGAACTTACTATCATTTTTAATTGCTAGCCCAGACCTTGAATAGGAGTCATTTGTCTTCTTTTTAAAATGAGTCTTTGAGGAGATAGTAAATTTTCTTGGCATATACGTGAATCAAGTTTTCAAATCTCCAAACCCCTCATTGTTATCTTAACAAAAGCACATTTTACAAATTGTGCACAGTTCATACACAGGACATATTTCTCAAATTTTATATGACATGCAATTTATTTCCCATGCTGAGGAAAGTGATCATAATTAGGCTAATTAGGTCCATTTTCTCTTCGACTCTGCTGCTCCCCATCAATTTTCTAGTTTACCAATCAGAAATGCAAGTTGAAAACCGTGGACTGAATTTTTTGCCACTTTTTCTTTCATTTGATCAAGGCAGCTTTCAGCAACCGAATTTCAGTCTCCTGCAGCCGTCATAGTACAAGCTTTTACCATTGTTCTCTAGCTTTTTTTAAAAAAAAATCTAAATATCTTTTGCTAATACCTATCAAAACTGCAGTTATGAGATGCATTTTCTTCATTGTATTAAATTGGCTTTCTAGATACATTCAGGAACATCTTGAACTTTTACATACAGTATATAACAAAGTTTTCATACTCCACATTTTGTTAGGTAAGTTATTGCCTGCATTCTCTGTGCTCCCTGATCCCAGTGCTGAATGTGTACAATTGCACTGTAATCATTTCTAGCCTCTCCATATAAATAAGAGTGTTCCAAAATGCACAAACTATTG